TTAGGGTGTAAAGGTTTAGGGTTCAGGGGTTTAGGGTCCAGGGGTACCCTTCTATAGTCCTCTGCGCTTTCTTGAAGGGGTTCTTTGAGGGCACCATGAGGGATTCGGGCTCTAGCCCCTGTGAGTTTTATGAACCGTAAATGTTGAACCCTAAACCCTAAACCCTAAACCCTAAACCCTAAACCCTAAACCCTAAACCCACCCTATAAGGGTTTCGGGTTTAGGGCTGAGAACTTGCGGTTTCGGCTTTAGTCGCTGGGGCTTGGGATGTAGGGTGTCGGGTTTGGGGTGTGCGGCCAGGGGTCCTTAAACCCTACACCCTAGACCCTAAACCCCTAAACCCCTAAACTCCTATACCCTAAACCCCTAAACCCCTAAACCCCTAAACCCCTCAAGTCCTAAACCCTAAACCCTTATTCCTCAAACCCCTAAACCCCTAAACCCCTAAACTCCTAATCCGTAAACTCCTAAACCCTAAACCGTTATTCCCTAAACCCTAAAACCGTAAAGCCTAAACCCTTATTACCTAAAACCTGTTAGAATCTAGGACATTTTCAGGTGGGTAGTTACCGTTATAGGAGCCTTATAGAAGGTCTATATACCTTATGGAGGCCTTATAGAAGCCCTGTATACCCTAAACTCCCCACCTCTAGTTTCCTAAACCCTTATTCCCTAAACCATGTTAGAACAGGACCCCTAAGCCCCTACACCCCTGAACCCGAAACCCTAAAAACTAAACCCTAAACCCTAAACCCCCCAACCCCCTAATGCCCCCAACCCGACGGTAGCCTTCTGCAAGCCGTGCGACGCCACCTCGCCGACCGGTCCGCGCCTGCCTCCTCTCGTCTGCTACGGTTATAGGGTCTTGGGATCAGGGTTGTGGGTTTGGGTTTAGGGTTTAGGGTTTCGGGTTTAGGGTTTAGGGTTTAGGGTTTTGGGATCAGGGTTTTGGGTTTGGGTTTCGGTGGCATTAGGATTTGGAGCCACAGTTAAGGTTTAGGGTTTAGGGCTTAGGGTTTAGAATGTAAGGTTACCGGCTACATACACAGTCATATACAGCAGCGTATTTGATGCTTCGGCTGAGGTTTTAAGTGTATTAGCTACTAACTGTATTTATGTCTCTTCAGACTTCTATACTAATCTCAGTAATGGTTTGGCTGTACCGGGGTTCCTAGATAGCCCTAAACCCTAAACCCATGTAATCCACATGCTCGGAGACCATTTAATATTGAGACATGGACCGGCAAACAGTAACTTCTCTACGAGGTTAGATCCCCGATTAGGGTTTTGGGTTTAGGGCGTGAATACGACACCCTAAACCGAAGCCCTAAATCGCGCAAAAAGATCCACACTCCTAACATAGCAGCCTGAACTATTCGTCTCTAAAACCTCACCCCAGAGAACCCAATACCCTTAGTTAGGGAATATTTAATAAATTATAAGGGTCCTAATATTACGATGTACGGTATATTCCTTAACTACGGGGTATTGGGTTCTCTGGAACTCCCTAAACTCAAGATCCTAAACCCTTGTCATGACGGCCTCTGCCCAACGCAGGCCACCAGGGCCGCCACGCTGGCTGCCCCCGAAGCACCACCCAAGCTGCCCTGAGGCGAGTCTTCGGGTTAGGGCTTGGGACGCCGGGTGTAGGTCCCTAAACCCTAAACCCTATAGCCTAAACCCTAAACCGGTCTTAGGTGTGTGGGGTTTACAGTTCTTGGTTGGTTCAGGATTTAAGGAGTTGATGCTACTGCCTCTTGGTTGGGGTTTAGGGTTTCAGGAATTTAGGGTTTAGGGTTTGTCGAAAGAAGAAGCAGTGTAAGTTCTAGTCAAAACACAGCCCTTTACAAGACTTGCAGTAGGAGTAGAATAATTTTTGGGTAGTATATTTCAGGGTAGGGCATGGTAGGACCATAATGGAACAAGGTTTTTGGGTATCTCATAGAAGAGACATAGTACTGCACCCTAACGGATAGGGGATTAGGATTTACAATTTATTCTTCAAGCTTCTACAGTCTTTCCCTGGCCCGGCTTGCTTGCGCCTATTCTATGGAGGCACAGAAATCCTGAACCCTCAATCGGCCCCTCTGAACGTCCGAGCCTTACTGGGGGAAGCCCTATGGTATTTTCCCCAACACCCGAAAACCAAGAAGCCTAAACCCCCGAAGCCCAAACACTCAAGATCACTGTTAAATCCCTAAGCCGCCCTCCAACCCTAACAGAAACCCAGAGACCCTAAACCCCGGTCGGCTCCTTCCGCGTGCTCTGCAGCCTTTCCGCGCTGGATGCGGCATGGAGACGAGAGGTGGATGCCTCCCCGGTTCGCAGATCTCCAGCGTCTAGGGTCTAGGGTATATAGGGTTTAGGGTATCGGGTTTAGGGTTCAGGGTTTAGGGTATAGGGTTTAGGGTTTAGGGTTTAGGATCCCTAAACCCCAACCTACAACCCTAAACTCTGTAATAGAGGGGCCTTAATGATTAGAATAGGGTTTTGGGGGGCTCCTTGTTATGCCCCCCAAACCCTACTCTAATTATAAAGGCCCCGATATGAAACTCATCGAGCTATAAATCCTACACCATAAACCCTAAACCCAATGCCTAAACCCTAAACCCT